ACTACTACTACTACTACTACTACTACTACTACTACTACGACTACTACTACTACTACTACTACTACTACTACTACTTAAACTACTACTACTACTACTACTACTACTACTACTACTACTACTACTACTACTACTACTACTACTACTACTACTACTACTACTACTTACTACTGCTATTACTACTACTGCGGTTACTACGACTTCTCCAACTCATATTCCTACTACTCCTGCTACAGCAACTACTACTACTACTAATACTACTACTACGTTCCTACTACTACAACTACTTACTACAACTACTATTACCACTACTATGTACAAAATATTAGTATATTACTACTACTACTACTACTACTACTACTACTACTACTACTACTACTACTACTACGACTACTACTACTACTACTACTACTACTACTACTACTACTACCTACGACTACTAACACCACTACCACTACTACTACTACTACTACTACTACTACTACTACTACTACTACTACGACTACTACTACTACTACTACTACTACTACTACGACTACTACTACTACTACTACTACTACTACTACTACTACTACTCCTACTACTACGGCAGCTTATACTACTTCTGTCATACTCCTCCGCAGCCTGTGTCCGACTGCCTCTGGCCCCGCCTCCTCCTTCATGTGTCCTGGACCTCCCCCTGCCCCTCCACCTCGGCCTCCATCCACTGATGTCGATGCCGTACTCGCTGAACGGACCGGAGACCCAAACTCCCCACGAAGATTGAAAGACGAAAGCCTCTCTTCAGCCAGGGGTTACGTAGCAGCTACAGACTCCCAGCCGTGGTCAGGCTGCGAGCTTCGTTGTTGTTGTCCTGTCCTAGTCTGTGCTACACCTTCCGCTCGCACTTTGACGTGCGCTGCGGCCAGCGTGCTCTTCTGGCTGCCTTAGCACACGTAGCTGAATATTCCATGAAATTGCGCGTGTTGTGCACCCTCTGCTGACAGGCCATCCGCTTCATCAGCCAATCAATCCAAAGACAACTTCTTCCCGCCTCCTGTCACCCCCCCTCCCTTCCCTTGCCTGCTCCCACCCACCTCCCTCACCCCTCTCCGTACTCCAACTGTGTCATCCCATCCCTCCCTCTTCCCCCCATCCCTTGTCTCTCTCTGTCCCTCCACACTCCTTTCTATTCCCGTCTCCATCCTCCCCTTGCTCCCCGCTCCCCCTCCTCACTCATCCCATCCGCCCCCCAGCAGTCGCCCACAGGGTTCAGCCTCTCGCAGCTGCGTCGACGGCTCCCAATTCATGATGGTCCTCGCACGCGTAATGTCTGGCCGGCGCTGCTTCGGGTCGTCCCCGGGCAGGGGCATGTTGACGATCTGGGAGGACGGATGGAGAAATGGCCAGCCGACACCCGGCATCGCGTCGTCATGTGCAACATGCGCGAGAGCAGTTCCCCTCGGCTCTCTCACTTACGAACCAGCGAGACTCTGCCCTCATCGAGACTATGTCCATGCGCGCGTCGGGCGCACTCAGGCTCTCGCCCCTCCAATTGCGACCACATCGTCGACAACACGTGTGAAGTTTCGACTCAAATGCTGATAGCAACCTCATGGTTCGGATAGTCGGTCGTGGTGCCGAACAACAAGCCTGCGGGTCACACCCATGTTTAATCGAGCCATGTAGCGAGGACAGCACACATCGTCGGCAAGACGTGGTTAGGCAAATCTACCGCTCCGCTCACTCCTCCTCCTCCTCCCCTAATTCGCTCCTTCTTCTCCTCCTCCAATTCGTTCGTCCTCCTCCTCCTCCTCAAATTCGCTCCTCCTCCTCCTCCTGACCTGTCCAATTGTCCTAGCCCGTTGAATTGTTTCTGACCCGCTTCGTTGTCAGAGCCCTTTCTTCTGATAACGCCTGATCCTTCCCCTCTTTCAGGTCGTGCTCTTCCTCTGTCTCCTCGCTCTCCTCTCCTCATCCTTATCCTCCTCATCATCTTCCTGCACCCTCCCTCGACTCCCCTGCCCAACCTCATCACCGCCATCGTCCTCACAGCCCTCCTTCTCGTCGCCTGCCTCGCCATCCCTGCAGCACTCCTGCTCAATCCCATGGCCACGCCGCTTTCTCCATTCCTCCGCCGCGGCGACGGGACGCCGCCAAAAGCCCCGAACGAGGACGAACGAGGGCCGCCGCTGTCTCGACCGGCCATCCACCCGCGCCTTGGTTTGTTCCCGACGCCGGCCCCCAGACGTCTCGAGCCCCCTCCCCGGGATCGGTTCTTCATCCCGAGCCGTTCTTGCCGGTCCCGGGGCACGGCGAGGGCCCCCCCAAGGCCGAGAACGGCGAGAAACCTCCGCCCCGATGTTTGGTGCGCTTTTTTTGGTTCGGCGTCTCGACACTGGGCGGAAGCAAGGGCTCCCAGCTTCGCGCTTCGCGCGGCGCGAGGCGCGAAAGGCGAATAGCTTCGCGCTCTCGCGCCGCCTCCCGGGGGAGAAGAGGAGGAAGAGGAGGAATCGGAGCCGAAGCGCGAAGCGCGAAGCGCGAATAACTTCGCGCCCTCCTCGAGGGCGCCCTTGCGGAAGTGGGGGGGGGGGGGGGGGGGGGGGGGTCCGGCTCCGCGCCTCTGCTCCGTGCCACTGCTTGCGGCAGGGCGGCCGACGGGGGAGGGACCCCCGCCCGCTCGGAACAGGCGCCAAAAAACAGCCAAGATCTACTCGGGGGAGGGGGGGAGGAGGAGGAGGAGGAGGAGGAGGAGGCGGGGAGGAGGGAGGAGGAGGAGAGGAGGAGGAGGAGGACGAGGAGGAGGAGGAGGAGGAGGAGGAGGAGGAGGAGGAGGAGGAGGAGAGGAGGAGGGAGGGCGGAGGAGGGGGAGGGGGGGAAGACAAGCTAGGTGCGCTCGCGTCATATCTGACGTCCTACCCCTCCCTCCCATCCCTTACCATGGCGCTGATTTTCTCTATCCGCGGACGCGTGTCGTAGCGGACCTGTGGCTCCGCGCGCGCGTGCGTAGTGGGTGGTGGTGCGCGTGCGTGCGTGCGTGCGTGTGTGCGTGGTGGTGGTGGTGGTGGTGGTGGTGGTGGTGGTGGTGGTGGTGGTGGTGGTGGTGCTGGTGGTGGTGGTGGTTGGTGTGGTGGTGGTGGTAGTGGTGGTGGTGGTGGTGGTGGTGTGGTGGTGGTGGTGGTGGTGGTGGTGGTGGTGGTGGTGGTGGTGGTGGTGGTGGTGGTGGTGGGTGGTGGTGGTGGTGGTGGTGGTGGTGGTGGTGGTGGTGGTGGTGGCGGTGCGGCGCGGTGGTGGCGGGCGGATGGGCGCGCGAGAAAGAGGCCCGCGCTGGGGCGAGAACGCCATCCTGAACGACGGAGGCCAAACACCGATCCGAAAATGAGGCCCACGCTGCAGCGGGAGCACGATTCGGAACGATTCGGGAGCAGAAATGAGGCCGGCGCCTCAACGAGAGCAGCATTTTGGGAAAAAATGACGCCGGCGCCTCAGCGAGAGTCGTTTCCCGGGATTTCCCGGGCATCCTGTGTAAAAAAAACAATACGCGGAGGGTGCGCGGCCATCACCCGGACGCCATCAGGGGAAGAGGGAGAGTATTTTCATATTGAGTAATTGTGGAGGAGGAGGAGGAGGAGGGGGGGAGGAGGAGGGGGAGGGAGGAGGAGGAGGAGGAGGAGGAGGAGGAGGAGGAGGAGGAGGGGGGGGGGGAGGGGGAGGACGAGTAAAAAAACGACCACATGTTTTCGATAGGCCGGCGGTCTGTCTCGACGGGCCCTCCTCCGCGCAGCCCCCATGGGCGGCTTTCTCCCCCCCAGATCTCTCTCGATTGGCAGAGCCCTCTGATACGTTCCTAAAGGGGCGCCAGCGACGGGGACTTCTGAGACCGCAGCGTTGCATCTCGGACTTAGGCAAGTGCGAGTGATAGCGTCACGCGGCGACCTCGTGGGCGAAGCCGAGCGGACTTGAGAAATCGGCATCGTCCGTCTAAAAAAGTCCCTTTTCCCTGGCGTCCCTTCTGGAACCACATTACCCTCGCACTTGGCACCGCCCCGAGAGCCGGCCCAGGCCTTAGGTCGGGCATGTCCCCTTACAGGCGGATTTGGGACGAAAAACAAAGGATACTCGACAAATACTCCAAAAGTGGAGAAACAAAAAAAAAGTCGTCCACAGGCTATGGTTTGACTATTTTGAGTATTCCTCCTGTAGAGGGGCACGCCCGAGTTGACCCAAGCCTTGCTCTTGCTGCCCGTGAGCTCGATGACCAGCTCGGCCAGCTGCTTCACGGTGAACTCGTTGGGGTTGCCCAGGTTCATGGGCCCGACCGTCGTCTCCTGCCGCTCTCTTCTCGGATTCCTCATTCCTCCTCCCTTTAATCGTCCTCCTCCTCCTCCCACTGCTCCTCCTTCTCCCTCGCATCCTTTTTCTTCCTCTCCCAAGTGTTCTCCCAGGGGGGTCAGAAGCTGCCGGGGGAATGCTTAGTCCAATAGCTTGACCAGACTTCGGCCCAACGTTTGGCCACACGGGCGTTTCCAAAAGGCAGCAAGCGGCGGTGACTCGCCGTAGGCGTCTTCGATACGCCGCCCCGTTGATTTATCAGAGGGTTGCCTGGCGTGCCAAACTCGAAGGTTACCAATGGCGTCTCGGCCGATCCCGCCAGCCCCGCGCGGGAAAGGCAGGAGGCAAGACCCTGTGATGGCTCCAAGACGGCCAAGATGGCCCAAGATGGCCTCCAAGACTGTCAAAAGAAACCTCCAAGACGGCCAAGATGGCCCCAAGACGGCCCAAGATGTCCTCCAGACGGCCCAAGGGGCCCCCGAAACGCCCCAAAAGGGCTCCAAGATGAATCCGGCCAGCCCTCTGGGCGTGAGTGGTCCAACGAGCTCGTTCTGCTAACCCCCTTTTTCCTTTTTTGGGAAGGGTTCCCCCTCCCCCCCCCTCCCTCCTCCTGGGTCTGGAGTCCCTCGCCCCGCGAGGTGTTAGAGGTCCTTGTTGGCCCAGGTGTCTCCAGGATGGCCCCAGAGAGGCTATGATGACCTCCAATATCGCTCAAGATATCCCAAGATTGTTCAAGGTAGCCTGCAAATGTGCCTCCAACAGCCCTCACAATCGCCCCAGGACGGCACCAAGTGCCGTCCGAGCCTCCCAAGGAGGCCTTCAAGAGGCCGAAATCCTTCAAATCCACTGTGTACTTCGATGTTACTTGCATTCTCGTCTGTTCGCTTCCGATGTGCTGTGGAGGCCTCACGATGGCTCCAAGATGGCCCCAGAAGGCCCCAAGAGGGGGCCCAGGATGGCCCCAAGATGGCCCCAAGACCGCCCAAAGAGCAGCCCAAGAGGACCCCCAGAAGCGATGTTTCGGGACCTTAGCCGCCACGATACGCACCACGCAACCCGTCGCGTGATGGCACGGAGTCCAACACGCAGATTGAAAACGTACGTTTGGCGCGATACCCAAACCGTGGGCCGACACGTTGAGCCAACACGCAGCGTGTTAACACGGACGTTTTGAGCACGGCACGTGTTGCGTCTCAAGACGGGCGCATCAGGGCATAGCAGGTTCGCGTCGTGTCGACCCTGGCGTTGGTTCGTGACACCGCGGGGATCGTGCAAACTTGAACGATCGGCCCTTTCAAAAAGGCAGGATCGTTCAAGGATTGGCCGATTCTGGGCCACAGGCGGCGTTCAACCTTAAACGCCCGCGCTGGGGTCGCCGCCAGTCGACACGACACGAACCTACCGCAGCTAAGTTCGGGCCCCGACAAGTGTGGCGTACTCGAGTACTCCTCTTCTTTGACAGATCGCTTCCAAGATGGCCCCAGGAGGGCCCCAGGAGGGCCCCAGGAGGGCCCCCGAGGCCTCCAAGAGGGCCCCAAGAGAGCCCAAGAGATCAAGAGAGCCCCAAGTGAGCCCCAAGTGAGCCCCAAGTGAGCCCCAAGTGAGCCCCAAGTGAGCGCCAAGAGGGCCACAAGAGATCCCCAAGAGGGCCCAAGAGGCCGCCAAAAGGCCCCAAGAGGGCCCCAAGACGCCTCCAAGACGCTACCAGAGCAAAAGATCTGCGAAGGCCTTGATGGTCGACTCCTGTCGTCGTCGTCGTCGTCGTCGTCGTCGTCGTCGTCGCCGTCGTCGTCGTCGTCGTCGTCGTCGTCGTCGTCGTCGGCGGCGGCCTCGGCGGCGGCGTCGGCATCGGCGTCGGCATCGGCGTCGGCATCGATATCTCGGCACCGGCGGCGGCGTCGGCACCCGCGGCGGCGTCGGCATCGGCGTCGGCATCGGCGTCGGCGGCGGCGTCGGCGTCGGCGTCGGCGTCGGCGTCGGCGTCGCCGTCGACGTCGGCGGCAACGTCGTCATTCCGCGTTTCCCACGGCTGCTTTCATCGAGCGGTTGCCCGTCGTCGCTCCCTGCTTACTGGATGACCAGCGCTCGTCGTCGGCGTTCGCAGGCCCGGAGCAGCGCACGCACGGCTAGCAACGACGGGCAACCACTCTGCCAAGGCGGCCCTGGGCACGCACGACGCAACATGGGCACCGCAGACAATCACAGGCAGCCACTCAACCAGGATGCTAAACATGATTTACACGTTCTCGCCTCGTCGAGCTCTCCAGCCCCAGGATCGCCCCAAGGCGGCTGAAGAGGGCCCCAAGACGGCCCCAACACGGTCCCATAGGCCTCCAAGACGGCCCATAGAGGCCCCCAGGACGGCCTCCGAAGGCCAGGAAGTCCCTCAGCAGTCCAAGATCCCCCCTCTTCTTCCTGTTCCTACTCTTCGTCCTCCTTCTCCTCGCTCTCCTCCTGCGATCTCTTCCTCTCCCGCGTGATCCCCCCAGGGGTTCCACAACGGCTGGGAGAACACATGATCCAAAAGCTTGGCCAGACTTTGACCCAACGCTTGGCCGCATTAGCGTTCTCAAGAGGCAGGTGGCGGCGGCAGGTTCGCCGCACGCGGTCCCGATCAGAAACGAGCACTGGCGCAAAAGCAAACTTCGCTCGCAAGGCTTGAGTGCACCAACCCGCACAGCAGACTCCAAACCGTCCACGTGGCCTGAAGGGCTTTCTTTTTGCCCAGGCACGGCTGCAGCCCACATGCACCGCAAGGCGGGGGGCGAACAACGTAGCCTGAAGGGGGGAGGGGAGGGGGAGGAGGAGGAGGAGGAGGAGGAGGAGGAGGAGGAGGAGGAGGAGGAGGAGGAGGAGGAGCAGGAGGAGGACGAGGAGGACGAGGGAGGAGGAATGCTTGAATTGCAACATGGACGCAGCGAGATCCTGCTCCATCAGCCTGATCAGGCCGTCTACGGTGTCGTCCACGTAGGTGAACGACCGCGTCTGCTGCCCGTCACCATAGAGTGTGATGTCCTCCAGGGCGCCGCTCTCTCCCCCTCCTCCTCCTCTCCTCCTCCTCCCTCCTCTCCTCCCTCCTCCCCTCTCCCTCCTCCCTCCTCCTCCTCCTCCTCCTCTCCTCCTCGGTGGTATGTACGTGACTAGGTTCGTCACGTCATGTCGCGCCTTGGTAGCACTGACGCCCATCTCCGATGCTGAGCCAATCTTCCTTCGCAATCCACTGCCCTTTTTTCAATCAGGGTACACAATCAAACGTGCTGCTGTCACGTCTGTAGCAGTCCCATTTGCGCGCACACCATCAATCACCGCGGTTTGGAACAAGAGAAGGGATCGACGATAGTGTATACCATCCTCGTTGTGCAAGGCCTGCATAATGAAATTGGTGACCACTCGGCCTCAGGGGAAATATCAAACGCACGAACATTGGAAAGACGTTTTGGCAGCACACACCGCGCTCAACACAATCAACACATCGTGAATAACAGCATGGGAGAGCGCAAAGTCTACACGAGTGTCTTTCGGGGCATTCGAAAAATCCAGATTTGCCACGCGAAAACACGCGCACGCACGCACGCAGGCACACACACACACATACACACATGCATATACATGTATATATATATATGTATATATACATATAGATGGATAGATATATAGATCGACAGATCGATAAACAGCGGGCGCGTGTGTATGTGTGTTCAATGTACACTGCGCCCCCTATGCGTTGCAATCGATGTCTGGCGGCGAACCCGGTGGGAAAGTGAGAAGGGGCGAGCCTTCTCAGAAGGCTCGGAAGTCACCCAGCCTCCTAACAAGTGTTCCAAGCTTTCCCAGAAGATACAAAAAAATCTGTCGCAAGGCGAGAGGGTTTCTGAGGAGTGCCGCCGCCTTCTGAAAAGGCCTTCTCCTTCTCACTTCCCCCCTTTGCACGCTGCCGAGATGTGGTGCAATCGATGTTGTCCAGTCTGTGCTGCACTAGTGCAAAATATGCTGCGAAATATATGTGGTGCACAATCAGTGTACAATCGACGCGGTGCCACATACGTGCTGCAGTCCACGAAATGTAGTTCACCCAGCCGGTCTTGAAATTGTCAAACCCACTAGCTCGCGCTGTCATTCCGCCCACCCACCCGCAACTTGGTTTGCAAAACCCATGCGGCGACGACTGCGATGACTGCGTGGCGCTGGCTGGCGCATCGCTGCGACCGCGCTAGCGCGCGCAGGGTGGTGGTGGGTGGAGGTAGGGGACCAAATAATGGCATGAATATTTTCGGAGGTCCGCGCAGATTTCTCGGATCTGCGCTGGGGCCCCCTGGCGGCGCCTCTGGCGCCGCCCCTGGCGCGCTCCACGCGCCAGGGAGGGGGGTCCAGCGCCGATACGACAAATCCGCGCGGAGCTCCGAAAGTTTATGTTCATGTCTTCGCTGATGCCCCGATTCAGGAAGCAAGCGACCGCGGGCAGGCCGTTGCATGGCGCCGCAGGAGTGGACCCGGCAAGCGGGCAGAGGGAGCGGGCGAGGCGCGGGAGCGCATCCTAGAACGACGCGCAAGCCAACGAGCGGACAATGAGGAACGGGCAGACTGATGGCGCGGGAAAAGAACAAGCAAGTGGCTGGATACTCCAGCGACACCAGACCATGCAAAGAATGCGACTGCTGTCATTGATCACACACACACAAACTAACATACATTGGCGTGCTCATGACCGGAACCCCCTGCGCTCGACAACGAAAATGGAAAGCGGGCACGGATCATGAAGCAGGCGGGTGTGCACCTGGAGACATCAACAACACAAGCTCATGATGTCAAGCCAAGATAAATTTACTAAACTCCCCAGCTGATGTCGCCCCAGGTGCCGTCGTACGGGTGCATACCAGGGCCGTACGTGTTGAAAATGCGCGCCACCCTGTTGCAGGGCATTGATATGGGCACCGCTCACCATCAATGGAGGATGCTCCTTCATTCCCGACTGTTTACTCACCAAAATCGCTGGGAGTCGAACTCTGCGCCAACTTCAACCATTTACTGCTCCTGGCTGCTAGTCCACTGTTCAGCGTCAACTGTAGTCGACCGACATGGCAATGGTGCACTCCTATGAGATGGATCGAAGACAGTGAACAGTGGATCCCCGCGGGGTTTCAACAAGTCTTCCCTGTTAGAGTTCGAACTCTGAGTAGGTGCATGAGCTTTGCAGCCCACATCCTGATGTCAACGTTGTGAGACCGCATGTAATCGAAGCAAAGCGTCTCCGAGACACGCTTGCCTGGGCGGAGGGCAGGAGATGCAAGAAGAGGAGCAAGCTCGGCAAGAAGAGAATTCAATCGTGGGATGGGTTCAAGGCATTCTCCCACTCCCTGCGAGACTCTCGGCATGCGTCCCCCCAGCATGCCGCAATAACACGAGAACAGTAACCTAATACGCTTCGTGCTAGCATCGCGCATGGCAAAAAAATCGAGGTAAGCCTTGGCACGACGAGGACAACCAAACAAAAGAGGGCCGTGCTTTGGCAAGCCCGGCAAAATGATCCCGGAACGTCGCCTGGATGTTGCCCATCGGTCGGGGGCGTCCCGGAGGGGTGCGCCCAAGAGGGGGGTCGCAAACCATGGCCCCGAAGCACGTGCGGGGCCCAGGGGATGCCAGGGGACGTACGGAATTCAAAAAACGGGGCATGAGATCCGGAGAGATATCGTGG